ATAATATTTTTATACTCTAAGGCAACATTTATAAACCAAAAATACTGTAAAATAAAACCAAAAAAAGAAAAAAAAAAAAAAAAAAAATGCGTTAAATTACGAGCTAAAATCTATTTCCAAAATTGCAGAAACAGTATTTTATTCTTTTTTATTCCTTCAGTTTCTTAAAAAGCTATACTATACAGTGGGTGTTTACATATTTTTAGAATGATTTCAGGGCCGTTTAATTAATGTTTAAAATGTAAAGGGTATTTTCTTAAATGATCAATCTGATATCCTTTCCTGGACTATCTGCATCGTGATTTCCACAGTAGAAGGGGTTTTGTAAAATTTCCATTGCTCTTCGCGTAATGGCTAACCGCATATTCAGTTGATCAATGTTAAACGAATTTCGCATACTGCGCAAGAGAATTTGGCACAATTTTAAAAGAGAGTAAATACGGTGTATAGTTGATATTCTGTTATCTGGGCGTAAACAGTTCGGAGCTTTAAAAACTTGTTTGGTTGTAAGTTGCTTTGTTACTTAGAGTGTAAATATCGAATTGTAAACTACAGAAATTTTCGTTTAAGAATGATTAAAAAACAGGAAATATTACAATAATTAGCTGAATGTTTATTCGTTATACTTCTGAGGAATAAAAGCAATTGCGTATTTACCATACATTCCATTCGTATATACTTTAACAAATTAAGGGATAAATCCAGTTTAAATTACTGAATTAAAGTCAAAGAACTTATTATAAATAAATGATATTAAATATAACGTTTTATGAACAAAATGAAATGAAACAGAAGCAAATGCATTAAGCACAAACAAATTTCCCTAGTATTGCAATTGTAAACAGTCGATAAGACCTACACGACAAACTGGCTTGTGTAGGCTTGCTTATGCTTTAGTTGCCCGTATTTCCTCCCAAGCCAACGGTACAACACTCAGTATACGCAGTAAGCGAAATTTTTAAGATTGATTAACTCAATGTGAGGTTTGCCATTACGCTCCCTCTTCTAGTACTTTCTAGAGTCCATCCTTCTGGTGGGTTTGCGCTTAGAAAGAACTCTTTTTAAAAGATCAAAGGCACAATATTCCGTTCATGAAATGTCAAGGGACATTTCAGGAATACGTTGAAAAAGTATATGTGTAATACATATATCAGTCTCCATTTTTTTCAAGGAATGCAGTGGTACTATTTGAACGATGTTGCTTTGTCTTGAAGTTGCAGTCTTCGAAAGCCTTGAAAGCTATTGAGATAAAGACATCAAACTTCCTCTGTAAATATCGGACGTAAACCTTTCTCCTGGTAGCGAAATTTGAATTAATTTAAAATTTTTTTTCAACTCTTCATATTTTTAATTCGCCACTGTAAGAGAATCTTTCGACAATCATAAATCCTTTATGGAAACTTTCTCTGCATTGAAGGAACCAAGTCTGTACATGTTTTCCTCATCGCTTTTGGTAATACCTCAATAGAGCTTTTTTGTAGCAGTCGCTTCTCGAGGGTCACAATCTATTTCTATTTATCGCCTTTTAAATAGTTTTCAGACAAGGATTTACAAGTCTTGCACTGAGCCACATGCCTCGACAAAAGCTGCGTATGTTTTTTTAAGCTTTTTAAAATTTTAAGTTCTTATTTATTATACTATTTATTGTTATAGATATATTTAAAAATTTCGAAAGTGATTTCTGCGTCGGCAAATTTTTCTCTTGTTACCGATGATTTAAATTTCGAAATATTAGAAACAGTACGCACCTTTTTCGGGTATTCGTTTGGAATCTTCTTCTGTCTAGAAGAAATGATTGATGGTTTTTCTCTTTCCGATTAATGATGTTGTTTATTTTGCGCTTAGAAATTTTACTATCATGCATTTTACAACGTTTTTAAACTATGGAATACGAATATTTCTCCTCCGAAAGAGCAAAAATATATCCTCCAATCCACAGCTTGTTCACATGCGACATTTTGAGTGAAAAATAAATTTAAAAGCGGCAGATAATATTTTTCATGTTAAATAATAAGCTGTTGTAAGAAATTTTTATTCCAAATAATTTGATTTTTTTAAATATTTTTTATCGAATTCGTTCTAAAGATCTGTAAACAGTCTCTGTATTTTAATAATTTTACAGCTTTTTAAGAAATAATAAATTTCTTGGAAGACAATATTATAATTTTTATTGTCTTTTATTTACTGTTTATTCAGTCTCTCATTAAAAATAGTAATACGGCAATTTTAAAATTTTTAATCACAAACTAAATAAATATGGAAATTTACATCATTGGAATATGTCAAATTCGATAAAAATTGTAATACCAAATAGAGGAATTTTAGTTATCACTACTGAAGTCAAAATCTAAATATTCAAAAATTAAGACGCTTTTCTTGTGATATCAGTTTGTTTGAAATTGCTATTTCCAAACTTTTCAAGTCAGTATAAGCATAAATTATTTTACGAAAATATCATAATTTACTCTTTCTTTTCTTTCCACTTTTAGTATCAAGTCCAACGTTTTAGAATTTAAACTAGCACCAGACGATTATAAGGCGGTCTGAAACTTGAAAGTAAACACTATACTTAAAAAACTGTAACTGTATAACTTAAAAAATTAAGCTCAGAAAGCAGCATAAAGTTAGTTATGTTAATACGTTTATTAAGAAAAATAAAATTAATATGAAATCCACAGATTTTGAAAAACTGACTTATAATCACAGCCATGCTGATGGTATATTGTGAAAAAGAGGTGCAACTAAAACATAACATATTAAATATTAAAGTTTATGACATAAAAGAAATGCTCAAAAGGGCGAATTTTCAGCTCAACCGTTAATGCTTGTCGGCATGGCCCTGCTTTTAAAACTTGAAAAGAAATTAATTAAAATTTTGAGCAAATTAAAGGCTATTTTCCCTTCTTCTAACATGATTATGGAGCACGGATATGATTTATGAGATCATCCAGCATCTGTCAGAAGAATTCGGTATCGGACTCTAATTTGCAGGGGAAAAAAAAAAATGTTTGCAAGATGTTGGATAATGTAAGGTAAAAGTTGTAATATTTTTTGCAAATGCAAAAACCTGTGTGGCGACACAAATATGCTTTCATGCACACTTTTTGTACAAGATGGGCTCATTGAAAACAGGCAATTCGCAAATTGTATTAGCAATTGAAAGCCACTGACTCTGTGTAGGAGAAAACAGACAGCCTCCCATCAGTTATCCATAGATGTGAAAATGGCAACCAGTCTCCCTGTAGTGGTTCAAGCAAGACTGAACCCGCCCACTTACTGCTAATGTTGATACTGATTTCTGTGCAAGATGTTTAATGTGGTTGTAATGTCGCATCGTACGAAGTTGGGAGACAATGGCCCACCAGATATTAATCTATGGAACTTTTTGAAAGATAATGTATTCATAAGGAATCTGCAAATATACAGCAACTCTTGAGCAGTTGTGACGTGCAGTTTTGGAGCAGAAGTGGCAGAGGCTTGTGACACATGTGATTGGGCAAATTGAAGACAATGTGCACTAAACTCATTGTCTACGCTCAGATACCCAATATTTCGATGATAAATAAATGTATAACAAACAAAAAAAAAAAGAGCACGATATTTCGTATGCTACCTTAAATTTAGCGTCACAGGCCGCACAATATTTTAATTTCCTAATAATTTTGAATGCATCCTGGAATAATAAACGAGGATATGTTCAAAGCAGTAGTTTCAGTGTCACATGTATAAATATATCAGGTCTCTGAGAATGAATAGTAAAATTTCACGTGGTCTCTAATGAAGTTATGTAGTAAGCGAAATGGTTTATAACGTTGCGCGCCTCTAACTAGCACGCAACCAAGAGGTGACTGTGAAAGCTTGTATAAACCACAGGGTCTTATAAAGGGTTTAAGTCCCTTTTTATTCAACGTAATAAATTACAATGGCGTCCTCTTGACGCTTACAGACTGTGCCCACTAGGCAGTCAAATAAAAATAATAACCTGAAAAAGAAAGTAAAGACAAGATTCTAACTACGAGGCTCTCTAAAATAACTAACTCACCGCGTTTTACAAATACCGCAGCTAATTCAGCAGACTTGAAGCTCACTGGAACAATTGCAACTACTTCCCGCCAAGCACATAGGCCGCAACGCGGGGTTCTTCAATTCTCGATTTCTACCTCCGCGCTCGCTAAGTAAGAATAACTCTCTCACCGAACTTGTTTCCTTCTATTTAAATCAGAAATACTTCCGCTGATAATTTGAATCCTTGCGCGTTCTACTCAAATTTACATATTCTGGCATTGGCAGTTCCAGGGGAAAGTAAGGCTTGACAGGAAAGATAGTTTTAAACTTAAAATAAATGTTAGTTAAAATAAATGTAAACCCTACAGGTTTGCTAATACTTTTATTTTGTTCAGTCATTCAAAAAGATCCCGAAAAGAATTAGTAAGTTTTAATATATGCGCCATTAACAGCATGAAAATAGTGATAATATTCATTTTCAGTTCATGTTCAGGTAAGAATGTCTGGTGTAACACTTGAAACTGCTTGTGTGTTTCTATTTTGAGGCGGCCAAGATTACCAGTTCTTTCATTGTAAACCTCATTTTTGGATAAAACTTCGAAAGAAGAAGTCTAGAGGAACTAAGATCAAAATTTCTTGCAGACGATGGAATAGGTCCATTTCTGCCAGTCCATCGTCTAGGAAATCGGCAACGCCACACGTCTCGAGCATAATTTGCAAAGTGAGGCGATGCTCTTTGTTGAAAAAAATCTACAACTTAGTGTTTTCTATTTGCTCGATGTGAGGGAATTGTAACATGCCCGCGTACATACTGAAATTAATATTAGTTTCAATCAAAACCTGTTTGTTGCTGGAGGAGATGGAATTCCATATTCCATACCATAGACGCACTTTGCGTTCGCTGCAAGAAGCTCTAGTAATTATTGCCATTCCTTAACAAGATGTGTGTATTTAAATGTTTGCATACTTTATATGAAACAAAATTACAAAAAACATGTATTTGAGGAATTATTTATTGCATAACACAGCAGTTCCGGCAGTACACATATTCACATCATTAAATTATTACATTACAATACCCTGTGCTCTCCGGGCCAACCATTCAAAAACAACTATTTACATTGTACGAATGACAGTCTTGTAAAATTTTACTACAGATGTAAACCGCGCAGTGGAGAAATTGTTCGAAATCTGTTATAGCACAGCCTTTTTACACTATTAAAGAGTAACAAATCGCGTAATTATTTAGTTATTTATTGTTGTCTACATGAATATTTTCCCCGCTAATTGTAAAAAAAAAAAAAAAAAAAAAAAAAAAAAAAAAAAAAGAGGTTGATGCATTTCTCTTGTTTGGTTTTTCTCCTCTTGTGAGATTTAATAACTATGCATAAAAAGATTTGGGGTTTATAAATTATGCTAAAAGCAGATAATTTGTTCTGAACAATTATTTAGTAGAATTAATTATTTCCACGGCCATATTCTAATAATAAATAAGTTTGTATTTGTTTAACCAAAAGCTAAAGAATACTGCTATTATTTTATTTATAAACCATAATCTCTGGTTAAATTTCATGTAATTTCATTGCAATGCATGATAATATAAAAAAATATGAAGCACAATCATATATAAACACTGCTAAATTTCTAAACAGCACATTTGCCTTATTTTAGTTGAGATCTACTCAAAACACATTGTTTTAATACTTTATGACATATAATTATAACTTTTGAATGAAAATTTCAAAAATAATTATGACTACATTTGGAAAATCGCTATTAATCTGGTGTTAGTTTTGAAATTCCAGATGTTCTTTAAAAATGGAATTGTATAAATTTAAAACACAAACATATTAAAATAGCAAAAACAAAGAATGCTTGCGGAAGTGTTTGATATATGCATTTTGCTATGGATTTTATCAAAACATCTAAAAAAAAATTCTTATCGCTTGTTATGAATTTAAGATTGCTATTAACTCCTCTTTCAGAATTCCAAATTATTATATTCGGAAAATATTCTTTCTAAGTAAAAAATTACCTTTCCTTTCAAAACAATACAACTTCTGGGTCAGGGGGAAGAGTTTAAAAGTTTATTATGCTAAAATATTTTATGCCATTATTCAACATAAATCTTATTTTAATTACTGATGCAACTGTTTCTACATCATGAAAATATATTTACATTGTATTAATTCAATTATAATAATATTTTAATAAGGTTGGCGAATTTTCAATAAACAGTGTTCCTTTTTATTTCACAGCTAGTGCGGACTGCAGTCGTAAACAGTTCAAAACGTTTATTCGCTTGTAAACTTGCGGGAGGAATCTGCTTCATACTATTCTTGCTGAAGTAAAGTCATCAGTTGTTCTTCAGTCATGCTCGAGAAGATGTTGAATGCATAATCCATATTGCAGTCACGTTTCTTGGTGTGCGTTTTCTCCCCATATGGCACAAATCTGTTAAAAGAAACAAACACAAACTTTACTTTCAGTTCTAATACAATAAAAGAAAAGTCTGGAAAACTAATATTAAAGCTTTCAATAATAGGTTACAGAAACTGGCATAACCTAAGTATATTTGAAGGACTACAGTTTCGAAAAATAACTGCAGCCTTCTTTTTCAACTGCGAAAATGAAAATCACACAAAAAATGAGGGAAGGAAGGGGGGAGAACAATAGAGAGAAAATAGATAATGCTTTAGTTCAGCATTTTAAAAATCTTTTTGACAAGTGGAACCCTTTTTATTATCCATTTTTATCATGAAGCCCCTGGTTTGGTTCAATAGTTTAGTTTTCATGCAACATTTTATAAACAGTTTATTTGCAATAAAAAGACAGTTGCTTCCAATAATATTTATTTGCTTCAAAGAATAATTTCAAAATTACCACAAATCTCTTAATAACGTATTCAAACTGGACTTTTAAATTTTAATTTTCAAAAGATAAGTGCTACTGCTTTTTATTACCATAGATATACTTAATAATAAGCGTTATGAATGAAAATTGAATTCTTATATCATGTTTGGCGTCAGTTCTGTTGCGCGACTTATTTACATAACAGCTCAGAGCCTGTTTCATGTAGTTGCAAACGGTAAAAATGCCAATACAACTTTTTGACAAGTTAGAATACTCGTTTTTTAAACTGCACCACAATTCCCCTAATGGCATAAATTTAAATTTCTCTTACGACGATGAATCAGATGTCATTTAAATAAAAGCTTCGTATTCTTCTGCGGACGTGGTCGAAGGTTGTGTATTGACAAAAAATGGATTATTAGACGTCTTAAAGTAACAAGAATCAGCATAATACCCGTATTCGTAAATTTCCAGGAGTAGTGTCAAACGATCCATGTTTAAAAATAAATATATATCTGTTATCCTGGTTAGATATCCTTATATCCTGGTTTCATTTACTTTTCCTGATGTTATAATAGCCAATGAAGTTTATCAATAAACAAAGAAACTTAATAAAAAAATAAATAAATTTATATTTTATAAAATATGCGTCAAAAAGTGACTATTATCCAGGCTACTCACAGCACCTTTTTTATATTCATAAATACGGGATACGTCCGCATTTTTAAAACTAAAGGATTCCCTGTATTTCCGGAGCTGTGAGATTTCCCATGTGTAGCCATCAATGAAGAAATGAGTCGGAGAATCACCGATGGCGAGATTCTGGGTGATTCCCTAACGTGGCTGCAGTAGAATGTCAAAAATTCTCCTGACGGTGCAGTCACAACTCGCGATGTCGGACTGTCGAAATTTATACCGACTATTCAGATTAGTTAGTGGAACCGAAGGCTAAGTTTTACTCTATTTTTCAATTTAGTAGATGGGCTTTTTTTAACTTACTTTCTTGAATGCTATCAAAACAAAGCACGTAACTTTCGCGGAACCCTTGAGTGATCTCAACGGAACCGACGCTTCCGTGGAACACTGTTTAGGAAACACTGTTATAGTTTAATGATAGAAAACGAAGTCTGGCACCATCTGTTAGCCAAAATTATGAACGTAAAACATCTAAATAACGAATTCTTAAAAACCTGATGGTATAGAGGGATTAGAATTGGAATTACTAATCAAAACCGAAATATTTTCATAGATATGAAATGCGTCCAGAACATAGAGTTTGCCAACAGAAAATGTTTTTTGAAAACTTTTGGTTGCAGAGAATGGAAAAGGTCGTTTCTTTATTTTTTAAACAATAGTGACAAGCAGCAGAAAATTTTAATAATTTCTTTTTTCCAAATATATGTCTCATTTCAAAACACATGTCATGCCTTTGAGATTTATGTTCGAAACGAACAAGAAGAAAATTCCAAAAAATGTCAATCATAAATCCTCTATCACTCATCACTGCTGCTTAAAAAAAACACATTTTCCGTTTCTCTGAAACCAAATTATTTAAAATTTGTATTCCTTGGTGTCTTAGATCTCTTGCCGCAGTCGTTTCACATCTATAAAAATCTTTCCATTCTGATTAAGAAAATTCAAATTTCTTGCTTTTTATCGTCAGCTTTCCAAAACTTTATTTCTTAAATGTCTTTCCCACGCTTTTCGGTCAACAGATTACGTTGAAGAATTCAATTTCCATCGTTTTCCTAGCACATTCTCGAAATCTTCCTAACCTCCCACGTCATTTTGATTCCCGCGCCTCACAAAGAAGATTCTATTTAACCTTCGAAATTATAGCCTTAAGCATTCATTTTCAGCGCTGTTTCATATTTATTCGATTGCGAATACTAAAAATGAACCGCGATAAATAATTAACGACAAAATTCATTTTGAGCAACCGCTAGTTTTTGAGTTATTTAAATTCTGCAGTTCACCGAAGCAAAAAACTACATAAAATAAATGTATACATAATATAGACAATCAAACAATATCGAGTTGTTAACCATGTAACAACATAAAAAGTTAGACCATATCTCCACAGTTTGCTCTGTGAAACAATTTGCACTTTTCAACAAAATATGTTTACCTTTCCTTTGCATTTACCAAACCCTAAAAGTTGAAATGAAATTTTTTCCTATGAATAATATATTTTAACTTCTAATAAATCAAACTAATACTATTCAAAAGCGATTTTACTTGTATTTTTATAAACATTCTCATGGCAAATAAAATGGGTTTCTTACAGTGAGGTCTTCAAGACGGCCATGCGCCATTCTAAACGATTTTGGCCATTCGAGACGGCCATTCTAAACGATTTTGGCCTTCTGTGAAGGTGCTCCCCTTAGAGATGTGACTTTCAATACTTATTTTTATTTATGTTCTTACAATTACTAAGCAAACAGTCGATCGTAGATATGTGGTCGCTATAAAAGATTTCACTGCGTATTGTGTTGATATTTAACAATTTTCTGACTTCAAAGGCATAAATTGTTCTGTTGTTCGAGATAAGTTTTTAATAGACCCCCAATAGCAACAGAAAACTATTGGGTATGATTTTACCTCATATCATAAAATTTCATTATTTCCTGTGAGGCCCACCAGCGGCCGAGCGGTAAAGTCGCTGAACACTGGCAGTTCGGTCCGAGGTTCGAATCCCGCGAACGGGCTGGCTGCACGGGCGTTTTCGTGGTTTTCCCCATGTGTAACGTGTATACGAGCCAGTTTCCCTTAAGTCCTCCACGAAGGCATTCCTCCTCTTAGGCAGATAGCCCTCGAGGCTTTGCCATACTCACACACACACACATTATTTCCTGTGATCCTCCGCTAATAGTACATAAATGGATACTTCATTTATGGCAAGTGATTTCTCTATCTTAATATAAGACTGTTATATTTATCTTGCATTACAAAAGATTTATTTTTAGCATTGCTTGCCATAAAGTTAAAATTTGTTCTAGCAGTCGTTTATGAAAATATTTTGACAGTTAAAGTGTAAATGATACAAATAATATTTATTTAACAGAAAGTTATTCCATCATCATTATCACATCGTTATTCATCAGGTCTCCGTAACAAAATGTAGATGAAAAATTAAATATATAGATAACGTACAAATATATGGTAGTTCTATACTGGATTGAACACTTGAAATGAAATACTAGTTCAGATTATTTTATTAATTGCTAGAAAATTAAGATGATAAATTATTATTAAACTTGGCACTACAAGGATGTCGCCCAGGCGGTATAGTGGTTAGGGGAGTCTAACTGCGAAGGGCCAGGGCTCGAATCACGGAGAAGGCGTGGATGTAAAAATTGTCTCTCCCTTCATAGGAGGCAAAGGTGGCCCACCTATTAGGTGCCTCCATAATAAAGGCCTTAGCGGTGGCCGATACAGGCATAGGCAAGTGCCCGCCATTTAGGGTGGGGAAAGGAACTAAGAGGAGTTGCCTTCCTAATAACATTTTAAATTCAGATGGAGTTCAATAAAATAGAATCATTGTGTTTCTATAAGAACACGTCAGGCTATATTTAAGAGAGTTAATGCTCTAATTCTTGTGTTCTGTATAATTACAGTTTGGAAGAAGTTTATTAAAACATTTACATATGTTACTCACATACATGAATTGTTTTATTATCTTTATAAATATTATTCATATATAAATACAGAGATGAATATTTTTTGTGAAAAGCGAAATATGCATTTTAGTTGGCTACTTATGACATAATGATAATATTAACAAGAATATGATATTTTAAATATCAGGCAAAAAGTTAAATTTATATTAACCACATTTATAGTTTGTTGCACACCATTTTTTTTTTTTTTTTTTTTTTTTTTTTGGTTGTTTGTTATTCTTTTCCGAAGAAAGTGTAAAAGATAATTCAATGAATGGCAAACATTACAGGAAGACAGATCTTTATTTTTGGCAAATTTGCCAAACGAAACAAGGGATTTAAACTTAAACAAGCACATAAGTAAAATAAAATTGAAAAAGCGTTTTTTAAATGTTTAAACACACAGAATGGTGGTCAAAGCATAACTCAAATTGATGCCTTTTTAACAGATTTCAAATCACTTGCTTTTCTGTATACTAAACTAAAGAAACTGTGTTTTGTTTTGCGGTTTAGAAGGTACAAGGAATTACTTCTAGATTTTCAATGGAAAAAAAAAAAAAAAAAAACCTTAGAATTAATTTTTTTTAACAAAATTTTAAAAGAAGAGAGAGAAAACGAAAAACATAAATACTTTACTTCTTAAAATAAAAATAATATCTACTACTGCCAACTCTCAAATTAAATCTATGCTAATGCATAAAATTAAAACATAATGCAAAAATATTTTTTGCTTTAAAAAACTCTCTTCGTTCAAGAATTTCCTTTTTTTAGATCAAAATGAACAATAACGGAAAAACGTTAAAAAAAATCTGAAAGTGTTCAGATTTTAACGATCGCCAAAAGGATTTGTTTAACGTTTTTTACGCTCTCGTTGAGCTTGCAGTCTACCAGTCTGGTATTGCACTCACTTACTCCAGCTAACCCATTTCAATTTTTTATTAA